ACAAAAACCCACAAGATACCAGATGCACAACACACCAAAGCAGCCTAACTTGGCTGGACCCACATTGTCAGACCTTTCTCTAAACACCCTGAAGTTCTCCCTGTCTCCACGGCCAGGGGAAGGTGTCCTGTGTGGTGGGACCTGTCCCCTCCAGGTCATTGCTGGTGTCCACAGAAACAGCAGTGCTGCTGGTGGCCCCACCACCATTTCCATCCACACACACAGGACCAAGTCAAACGCACCTTATAGTCCAGCCCCACCGCACTTAATATTTTAAATGAAAACCAGAGCCTGGGATTTCTGGTCCTCTGGTTTCTGAAGGCCTTTTTTGACCATTTTAGTTGTTATATTCAAATTTTCAGTTATCAAAACTCATCCTAGTTGATGCTATAGCTATCCAGACAATCACAGATTTTTTTTCTGGAGAACACAGTCCTTCTTGTGATTCCTGAAAATGCCCCTTTGACTGCTTTTTCAAAGAGCCATCACGTTTCTTTCTCTACGTCGCATGCCATTTATTTTTTCCAAATATAAGAGTCATGTCTTTGTTTTCTACGCACTGTAAGTTGCCCGGCTCCTCCAATAAACACCCTCACTAATCCTAATAAACTGCATTGCTCTGAAAAGGCTTTAGGAAGCAATAAGAAAGAGGCAGACACCCTTGAGATGAGTGTGTGTCCCCACAGCATGGGTGACCCCTACGAAGCATCACAACCAACACTTCCCCAAGTGGTGGCATCTTTGGGCGCCACCCAACGCCAGAACCGAGGGAGCATCAAACCCCTTTTTGCATTTCAAATTTACAACTGAAAAAAAAAATAATAATAAATAACATAATAAAAATCACCGGACCGGTTTGTATTTCAAATTTACAACTGAAAAAAAATAAAAATAAATAACATAATAAAAATCACCGGACCGGTTTTGACATTTCCCTCCTGGTTCCTCACGGACCTTCACTTCTCCAGCTGCAAAAGGGGAACCGAAGCCACCTGACATAACAGAGGGGGTGTGAAAAAGAATTAATGTTCGCGATGTGCCAGACGCTAACTGAGAAAATCCAAAATCTGCCAGGATGAAATGTAATCTCATTTTAGGAAATGTTGAAATCATTTCTGCAGAAGGTTAAAAAAATAATAATCAGGCTGAGTCAGATACACAGCATGGAAAATTTCAGCCCAAATGTTTATAGTTTAGCAATTGAAAGCAAGGCCTTATAATGCCGTGTTGGGTAAACTTAACTAATCTGCAAAAATTCCAGTTCTCCTTAGAATAACAGTAACAGAATCAAAGCTGGACGGATTAAAAGCAAATGCCACAGCAATATTCGTATGGAGACAAGTGCTATGGTAGCATTAAAAAGAATATTAAAATTTGGCACGTATGTGGAGTAACCAAGGAACACGGGATGTTTTCCAGACAGTAATTCATCATATCTCACACTACTCCTGCAAAATCTATAATGTGTGCTCTTTAGAGAGATAACCAGGAGGACACATCGAGCATGGAGAGGTTGAAGGACTTGCCAAGAGCCCACCATGGATGGGCCACCGAGACGGGCTACCAGGAGCCCCAGGCACAAGCCTTGCCTCCAGCACTCCAACGGCAAGAGAACCCCAACGCTAAGAGGAAAAATCATGACTTGGAGGTTTTTTAACAAGGAAAAGGGAAGAAAGCAAAGGGGAAAACATTTCTTTTGCGATACAAGTGCCAGTCTCCGGCAAAGGCAGCGCCAGCCCTCCCGAAAGCAGGGCACGGGATAGGGTCAGAGCAGGGCAGGATCGCTCCGAAGCGGAGAACTGGGAGAGGAGTAAGAGCAAGTCATTGGATCTGCTCTTCATTTTGTGTTTAGCAATAGCAAGAGAAAATAAACACAAGCAAAGATCTTGTCGCCACACACTAGATCACCAACTAGCTCCTACAGCTATTGAGGGATCTACCTTCAGTGACCTCAGAGCCTTCTACAGAGGCACAAAGCAGCATCAGGAATTAGGTACTGGCATCTAGTGAGGAGCCTAGGAGTTTTTTCAATAAGAAATATAAAATCACTACTGCGAACACCAGAAATATTATGTTTCTGGAGGGAGGAGGGGAGGAGGACAAACTGTCCGCGCAACGGAATAAGAAAAGCGCTTTTGATCTTTTGTCAGTCAGGTTGACGGTTGGACAAGATGATCTTTAAGGTCCCTTCCAATCTAGAAGATTCTGTGATTCTGTGATTTTTCCTACCTTCCAACAAACTGGGTTAAATCAGCTTTGCAAACCTCCAGGAAAGATTTCTCCTGCACTGAGGCTGTCCCCACCCTCCGCTGTGACCGCTGGACGGCGGCCGGTGGCCAACAGCTTCTCACAACACCTCACCTTGTGCGGCGTTAGAGCACTTTGAAGCAACATAAACCTAAATATTCCTGGTAGGCAAAGCGGGAAGGGGAACTGAATTCTAATGAACCAGCAGCTGTCACAATATGACCACAGTAACCAAATCAAAATATCAACCACTAACCCAGATGAGATTCAAAGGTCACCAAATAAGCCAGCAGCTTTCTTCAGCAGCGCCTGCAACCTCCGTCTAATCCTGGCAGTGAAACGCTCCGTGGAGCTCCGGGGGGTTTGGGAGGAAGTCAGTGTACGTCGGGAAGGGATTTAAGGAACTAGCAAGGTACCCCGAGCAGCAGGATGAGACCCATTTCCATGGAGCACACCTGGAAAGGGAGAGGTGATGGGAAGCGACACCCGACGTGCCACAGCCATCGCAGCCTGGAGACACTCAACACCTGCAATTCCTGTGCAACATTCCTGTGCAACCTGCTCTGGGTGGACCTGCTTTGGCAGGGGTTTGGAGGAGATGATCTCCAGAGGTCCCTTCCAACCCCATGGGATTCTGTGATTCTCCACTCCTCCCCACGGGGCTCTCTCCAGCACCTAAGCACAGGCTCCCCGCTAAGCACCGGCCACGTAAAAATGGATTTTAGAAAACAAACATCTGAAAACTAAACCACAATTAAAGCCCTCGTTTAAGCGCAGCCTGTCTGCAAACATCTGTGGCTCACAGGTAGGGGGGCAGCAATACCTACCCCCAGTAACAACAGAGACTTTCTTGCCTGGAAAGCCACCTCAGATCAGGAGCAAATGCATTCAAAATCAACGGTAACACACTGGTATAAAACCACTTCAAGGTGGATGATTGTCAAGCTCTTTATCAGATGCCAAGAGAAGGAGGAGCACTGAAAAAAAAGGACTTCTTGTGACACCAGAGTTTATGGGGACCTTTCCTCAGGGAGTTCAAAGACCTGCCAGGAAAAGGGAAAATGATAAAGGACATTTTGGAGGCGGGAGCAAGCAGCTCATGCAGCCTCTGGCCAAGGGATGAGCACTCTGCCTTGATCATAACCTCAATATTTAGGTTTCTCCTAAAAATCACAAGTAGAGAGGTGACCAGCACAGACTGACAGTCTCTGTAGGGCAGTGCCTCCACCGGGGCAGTGTCAGTAGAAACATCAGGATTTCCAGAGCTCCTAATCACAGTACAACACGGTTTAATTCTTTACCTCGGTGCCTCCTAACCTGTTTGTATAAAACAACTATTTTTTAAACCAAGTGGAACCAGTATTTTCACTAGGGTTGGCAAAAACGGAGCCAGGAATGAGAGTATTTTTTTTTTTTTCTGTAAGCCAAGGGCAGGCAGAAGAGAGAAGGACTTTCAAGTTCTAAAGACTTAGGTTGGCAAAAATGGAGCCAGGAATGAGAGTATTGTTTTTTTTCTGTAAGCCAAGGGCAGGCAGGAGAGAGAAGGACTTTCAAGTTCTAAAGACTTTAACTGGAAGTCCATCCCAAAAGCCCAGTGGGTTCCAGAGAAGCGTGTGGCCATTTGGGAAGTGGCTCCGCGCACCACCTCAGCCCCGTGGCGTGAGTTAAGAAGGGAGTGTTGAAATTTCCCTGCTTTTTTTGGCTTATACGAGACCCTTTAAAACTGTTGTAACCATGTTTGGTACGTGAATACATACAAACGACTACAAGCTCCAACATTGTCCCATATGTTAAACAACTCACAAATATTTCCCAATATTAAAAGACAAGGCATATTTTAGGGACGTATATTAGAGCTGAAGAATGATATATCGCAGTTACAGCTCCATGTTTTTTTTGGCTCACGTTCAGCCCTTTAAAGCAAAGCATTTGGTTAGTTCATTGACAACTGCAGAAGAAGGGTGTGATCTTGGCCGAGCATAAGCATTACTAATATTTTTACATCATATATTTACTTTAACCAAACTCATTTATCAACCGTAATTAAAGAAAGTAGCTATCATTCACTTACAAATAATTATAGCCTCTCTTACATACCGCTCTGGCGTTTGCTGCTAAGCTAAATGATTATTCGGGGGTGTCAAAACTTTCTATCACGGGGTGTGGGGTGGAAGGAGGGTCCCTGCCAAACGCCCCGGGCAAAATCTCACTCCTCTCAAGCCGCCTGGGCTGCAGCTCCCCTCGCCTGAAACCCAGGAGCTCGCAGGTCCCAGCAGGCAGCGAGCCAGCCTGCTCCAACACAAACAAGGCCTTCAGTGTCCCTCACCAGTTATTCAGCTCTTCCCTTTTTGCAAACCTATATTTATCGTATTTTGCAGAAATCCTCCCCTACTTTAAAAGTTCCATCCCCATTTTCCCCGCCGACCGGTCGCTTCTTTGAAAAGGAAAGGCTGAGCCTTCGGAAACCACCATTTACATCTTTCAGCAAATATTGCAGTTACCACATCAAAACCCCTAGCCCTCTCACAGCAAGAAAACACAGTTCTGTTCAGTAAACACCATCGGGGGACAGTTTGCAAACTGCAGGATAGCTTAAAAAAAAAATAAAGATAAAAATCCCTGTTCCCACCCTTACGCCGAATACAACCAACCCCAAAACGAGGAGGAGGGATTTAAACCCTCAGAATTTTCTTTCGGGTTCACTTATTCCACTTTTAACACCCACGGTCAAGTTAAGAAGTTTGATTTCTTACTTTGTATTCTGGAATTGACAAAGGGAGGAGAGAGATTGTCATGCGACCCAAGGTCTCTGCTCGCCATATGATCATAGTGAGTCCCATCTCCATAGTTCTGTTAACAAATTGGGAAAAAAATATAAATACAATTTTACAAGTTTAAACAGCACTTTTCAAAACCTACAGGTTCCATATTTCCCTTCAAAGTTCTAAGCCAGCTATAAGAAATATTGTTCCCTTTATTGGCTTCCCCTATTGATTCTGCTGGAAGTGATGTGTTCCAGAACATTCTTAAAGCTGTTTCAAATTTTTATTTCATTAGTAATTGACTTCGCTTTGCCGTGAGGATAATCCTGAATGGGTGAGCGAGATGAGGTTCCTGGAATTTGGTGCCGGGCAATTCAGCATAAAGCCCTCTCTTGGCATCCAAGTCTTCTCACCCATAACATATGTGAGAAGAGCAAAGAAATACCGCTTTTAAAAATAAATTTAAAAAGCAAAATGTTATGGAGAGGTTTGTCATCTTAATCACCTCGTTGCTATACACATGTACTGGACTATAAGAAAAAAATATAGATTTTTTTTTTTCCACAGTGGGTATGGAAAGTTAATTCTTACTGAAAAGCCAACCCCACTCCCTGCAGCTTTGTTACCCCTCAGCATCTCTCTGGGCATCAGCAGCATCAGGTGGTACCCAGAGTCAAGGATGGATAAAATCCTCGCCAGGATGGGAGCCCTAATTCTTTAAACACTCTTGGTGTAACCTCCCGCTTTGGGTCACTCCTTTAGCCAAAATCTTCCAATTTAACTCCAAACATTGGCCAAGTGCAGTAGTCATGCACTGGTTTGTTTCTTCGGTTCAGAACTCGGGAGAAACTCTCTTTCTCCCAAGGTGGAAATACCATCATCTTTTTACAAAGAGGGAAAGAGAGAGGGGTCAGGGCGGCCGCAGAATAACGCGGCAAGTTAATGCACAGCCTTGATTCAACCCCCAGAATTCTTCCCAAGGCTCGTGCTCTCTCCTTTATCTCTCAAAACTCAATTGTACGCTCACATTCAAGTTTTTGCATGCATAAATAATTGTGTGTGCAAATTTCGAATTTACTTTTCAAAACATTTTTCCCTCGGAAGCAATACAAGTGTCAAGGCCAAAAAAGAGGGATAAAAATAAAACTGACAGATGTGAGCAGTAATGACGTAATGGATGCTAAGCAGGATGGAATAAGAAAAGGTGTCGGGCTTCCCTCCCTTGGCGGCAGGGCCAGGGTCCCCCCCATCGTGCCATAAATGGGGGGACCCCCCCAGGGTGCCAACAGCCACCAAAAAACCCTCTGGTGGCCCAAGGTCTGCCAAGGGCAGGACTTGCCCCGAGGGGAAAGGACAGACCCGGGATGAACAGGCACTGGAGGGCAAGGAGCTCCCGGCAGCGCCGCTGGCGAGCCCTGATCCTTCAACGTTAATTAGAAAACAATTAAAAAGCAATTTAAACAAACTGTTTAAATAAGGGCATAAGTAAGAGTGAAGCCACTTTTTGCCCAGCCTAAGTGTACTTCAGGTATTTGCAGGGAGTAAACAGAAATAATCAGCTCTGCGCTGCAGCCCCGAGGACGGGGGAAGCGGGGATGCTCCGGCTGGGGAGGGGGGACGTGGGGACACGGGCAGGGCTGTCCCCAGCATCACACCACACAGCTGCTCTGCTGGGAATAGCTTTTCTTCCCCCCCAAAGTAACCAGCATCCCCATCCTGAGGTGGCTAAAGGATGTGGATATCTGTCCCCAGTCACAGTCGCCAGGACTGTCACCAGCTGTGTCACAAATCTCAGCCAACATCCAGTCTCACCCTGCCAGAGCATGGCTCCGTGTCTGCCCTCCCCAGAGGGGGGGTCTCACATGTAGGGGGGGGTCCCACGCAAAGGGGGGACCATGCGAGATGGCTGTGACATCCTCAGTGGTGTCTGGAGAGGTGGGCAAGTGTCTAGCAGCCAGGCCACCTCCCTGGAGCTCGGATGGTGCCAAAACACCCAGGGCATCCCCTGCCCAAGGAGAAGGGTTGGAAACCCCGTGAGCAGAGGCACGGAGGGGCTGAGGTTTGCTGCAGGGGGCAGGGGGGACAGCCCTGACATGGGGGGGACAGACCTGGTGGCCCCTCTCCAGCTCTGCTGCCCTGAGCTCAGGCCCTGGGGTGGCCACGGAGCGACTGGCAAGCCCCAGCATGGGGACAAGTGCCACCGTCCCTCTCCTCAGCTTTGGTGACACCCACATCCCTAAAAATCCAGCTATAGAAAAATGAAATTCTCAGCAACAGCATCTCTGCTCCAGCTGCACTCTCGGCGGTAGCGGTGGCTGATACGGCCTCACAAGGAAAAAAAAATAGTTAATTAATATTCTCGCTACCTGTTAGAAGTAGCGGAGCAGGTGCCAAATTCAATCACAGCATCAGGTTTGAATGTTCAAAAAGGAAAAAAAAAAAAAAGGCAATTTTCAAGAGAAGACAGGCTACGGCCAACTTTGCATGCCCATTTTTCCACGTAATCAGGTGTAAAACTCATATTTAAGATTGTAAATTTACATATGCAGTAAGTCTGGTTTGGGGAAAAAGATTAGATATACTTACCCTGGATGGACTAGGATGTCCTGTATTCCCCCAGGACCCTGAGCTAGTTCTGTCTTCTACATCTAGGGACAAAAAAGTTCTTTAGGCTTTATTGCAATAATTCTTTCCTTTTGTATAGGCACTTTTAAATTAATGTTTCAAATTAATCTCCTGTTGCCTTTAATTAAGAATCAGGCACAGGGCTACTCCGATGGTAGTGGCTTCTGACCCACTGCTTAAATTAACTCATTTAAATTCACAGCAGAAATGAACCGGACCCTCAGGAACCTGAGGTTTGAACATAAAAATTACTTCAGTGGCTCAGTGTTTCCCGACACTTTAAAAAGTGACTGCGCTGTACCCGTTAAAAGCCTATCAATTAATAAAAAAATTTTAAAAAAAAGCACAAAAATAGGTTATTGGCAAACAGTAAAAAGAAACCAGGATAAACCAGACGAAAGCTAGAAGTTTAAGTAAGGTGTGTTTGGGGTCAACGTACTTCTATTCACGCACACATTGGTATCTCAAGAAGAGAAAAGCCCATTCCCAATGGCAGAGTGGGTATTTTTGTCTTTTCCTCTATGGTTTGATACCCTCTCAAACAGAGAAGATATCTCCAGGAATATCATGTCCCATTGCACATGTGTGAGGATGTGAGGAAACCTGCCGTTCAGGGTATGAACCATGGAAGCAGGACTCCTACAAGTTCCTCCTCACTTTGCCACAAAGGACAGAAAATGGCAGGCTGAGACATTCCCCAGCCTTTGCAGGTGACACCAAGCACTGTGGGGTGGTGACAGGTCTAAGGGACAGGATGCCACCCTGAGGGACCTGGACAGGCTGGAGAAGTGGGCCCATGTGAACCTCATGAGGTTCTACAAAGGCAAGTGCAGAGTCCTGTCCCTGGGTGGGGGCAAACCCTGGTGTCCATCAAGACTGGGGACAAAGGGATGGAGAGCAGCCCTGCCAAAAAGGACTTGGGGACGACACATTTTGCCTATGAATGCTCTCCACATTTCACAATTCCCAATATTTCTTCACCGACGCAACTATTTTTATTTTCCACTTTCCCCAAGTCTTTCCTGGTATTGTCAATTAACCCAGTTTATTGGTATCAAAACGTCCCTGTAATATTGAATGTTCTTTCAAATGTGGAGCCCAACAAAAAAAGCCAAATAGTCACGTTTTCCGGAGACACCCCAGTCTATCTCTCTTGGGCACAGTGATGTGCACCTCCGGGCTGACCATGCTACTTCTGAGGCTGCCCAAGGCCCAGGAGAAGTCCCCAACTCAACTCCAGAGGCTCCCACCAACACGGAAAGCAGAAGATCATAGAATCATAGAATGGTTTGGGTTGGAAGGGACCTTAAAGATCATCCAGTTCCAATCCCCCTGCCATGGGCAGGGACACCTCCCACTAGAGCAGGTTGCTCCAAGATGCTCCACAGCGCACGCAGGTACCCTGAGATAGGCTTGTGGAACCGCTACCATCACGAAACCTTGACTAAACCAAGCTGGGAGGCTCCTGAGACTTTCCACTTGGCTAAAAACTTAATGGCCAAACACAACACGGGTTCAACAAGTCACTTGCCCACAGGTTTCACGGAAGCCTGTGAATAACTCCACCCAAATCAGAGTTCACTCTCATGTTAATTCAAGTAAATGAGATCACTCATGCTTAACGTTAAGCACATCCTTTAGCCCGTTGATGGCCCGGACCATACTGCTTCAATCCATTACCTCTTTTTTTACTTACAGTATGTTAAATATGAGGAAATGTGATTGACATTGATCTAGAACAGTATTATTGCACATTTCAGTGCTATTTTCCAACTCGCTCCTGTGTACCCACTAGCATCCTAATGAAATAATAATATCGCTTGCCTTTTGCCACGCACAAACAGCAGCTTTAATCTAATTGGAAAAAAATAAGTCTTTGGTCTTTGCTGGCTAGAGAAACTTTCTCTACGCACACGACCAGCTCCCATCCCACCCGTGCATTGGTTCACCTGGACCTTCAAGGATCAGCAGGAACTTCTCCTGTCTGAGAACAGGACACAGTCATTAGCACTTTAAAACACGGCTGCCGTGACCAAATCTGGTTGATTTCCAAGATGAAAAAACACCACAAAAACCCCCACACATTTGTGTAGTTTAATACTTTCCCCCAATTACAATTCCTATTATCTCAGTAACAGATGAACGTGTTAATAGCACAAGACACTCTTAGGTAAATATTTAATTAAGCTCCAGAAAAAGAAAGAAAATGTGTATCATTTACCTGACAGATCAGATCAACCATTCTATTAGGTTAATTAGGCATATTTTTAAAAATCATTTGTGTTATGTAACAGGCAATTAACTCTGTAGAGCCCCAATCCATTGCCTGCTAAAAACCAGTGGATATTATCCCATTGACTCCCACGGGCATCATCCCAACCTCAAGCGGAGCTTCCCAAATCCATGAATGAGTAGAACAGCTCAACCCTTGGGGGCAACACCCAGGGGACCCAGTGACAGCTCTGAGCCACCTCCAGAGAGGTGACAAAGGCAGCACCTGGGCTTCAACCCTGTTCTGTTGCACCAGCCCAGGGCAAGGGGTGCACTCGGTTGCTGAGCTCTTCCCGTTGGGATCCCACCACTTGGCTCCAGCCAAGAGTCTTCTGTCACCCCTTCAGAGATGCTGGGCTGATAGATGCCATTTAACCTACTCACGGTGCCTCTTTTTTGTCAGGTTCTTCAAAAAAAATGGGATTTTTTTCAGGCACAGAGGAGGGTCACCACGCTCCCAAAGCTGCCCAGTGCTTTCCAGCAGCACATGGCAGTACTGGCTTCATGGCCAACCACTGGATGGTCTCAATGACGTGAAAGAAGCTATTTATGTGCTTACAGTAAAACACATGTTTTTGTGGTGAGCTGAATTCCCCTGGTTGTCCGTTCTGGTATTCTTTGCTGTGTTATCCCTTCTTCTCCCCCGAGCCAAGCACGCCCATGACCAGAGAGCACTGTCAGATGCTTAAAATAACACGGGAACACCAAGGACCTCAGGGCTGGGGTAATTCCTGGTGGCTGCAACCATCCCAGCCCGAGTCCCTGTGCACACACAAGACTAACCCAGAAAGCCATGCTGAGGAAGGGGGACACACCGTCGAGCAAAGGACACTCCTGGGCAGGGAGGGGGACAGCTTTGGGGATGCATCAGTGGAGGACAGACATGATTCTCCACACCCAAGATAATGTACTGGGTAGAGACTAGGAGACTAACCTCACAGAATAATGCTGTAACATTTGCCTAGACTCCAAACTATTTAGACATCTCCATTTTGGTTGAAAACTCCTTGCCCTTAACCTTGCTTTCATCTGAGCCCATGTCACGCTCAAGGTCTTCCACCAAAGTGAAAAGTTCTGGACTCTGATCAGAAAGCGACAAGCAAACGACAATGGCTCTTGTGCCTTATCTTCAGGGGTCGCGTCTTAGCTTTCGACCAATTTTCTTTGTATTTATACTTAAATGTGCAAACTACACTATATTACTCTGCAAAACATCAATGAGAAGGCTTAATTAAGTAACACTGACAGATAAATCCATTTCTTTCGCAGTAATCAAATCAAAGCAGGTTGACATAACACAGGAACTTAATACAGTTATTCCCTTGTAATTGGAAAAAGGCCCTTTACTTCTCATTAAAGCAATCTTCTGGGTATTGGCATAATAAGAAGGCTCAGGGCTTTAATACTGCCCTATAAAAGCCCCAAGATACAGACCCCTTAAGCAAACATGCCAGATTATCTAATTCCTTGATCATAGTGGAACATGTAGTTATTGTTTTAAACTACTAATTCTTTATCTCAGCTAGAGACAAAAAGGAGGAACTCAGTCTAAAACACGTATCGTGGAGCTCTATAAAAATGCAAGCTCTAGCTGGGGAAAAAAATGCTTTTTCAACAGTACCCAGGATCTTCAGCTGGGAAATGGAGAGTTTAGCAAGAAGAAAATTGTTCTTGGACATACAAAGATGAAAATTGTTCTTGGACACAAACAGTTATAAAGAGCAAATAATAAAATACAGTTTTATCGCATTGGTGAATTTGCTGGAAAGTATTTTTTCAGCAGAAGCAGAGCCAGTCAAAGCCTTCCTGCTGTTGGTGTGATGGGACCACGCTGTCTCCCACTGTCCCACTGTCACCAGTGACCACCTACAAGCCCTCAGAGAGTCACCACGGCCCCTGTTGCCCATGAGCAGATTTGGAGCATCACCAGAGAGGGCTCGGCACCCACCTGAAGGGTTATGCTGGTGGCCTTGAAGGGGTGATGTGACAGGTCCAAGCAGTGGATGGACAGATAGATGGGTCTCTGTCCCTCACGTGCCTGCTCCTTGTCTCTTCTCATCTTATTTACAAGCATCCCCTTTGTGTGAGCCGTCGACAGGCAAAGGCCACCAACTTCTGGCCCCCTCCAACCAGCCCACAAATCAACAGCGCTTCTCCCTCACCCAAAAAGGAAAAAAAAAAAAAACCAAAAAACCCCCACAAACCCCCTCACTAATTACTACCTAGTTAATCTAGCCCAGTTTACTAATAATTTAGTATGACAGATATTACAAGAAGGTTTGTAAGCTCTTAAACCTAATTCCAGAAATTTATTATGCACCCTGTAAGTACTCCCACTCAGGTAATTAGGACAGCGAAACCCTAATGACACCAAAGCCAATGCAAAATTCTCCAGTGACTTATTCCCAGAGCTTGGATTTATCCCAGAGTGCGTAAACTTGAACACAGATGTCATTTTCCCCAGAATCTGGCTCCTGTAAATTAACCTCCCTTAAATCGCCGGCGTTAGGCAATGTGACATTCCAAAAAACAAATCATCGCGGACAGATGCGGTCAGTTTCTCAGAACGCCATTCATACACAATTAACAGTGGGGTTTAAATAACATAACTCAAGCTTCATTCAGCACCTCAGAACTTCCAGCTATAAACAGAAAAACTGGCTCTTAAATGGAGTCAAAGCATTCTGAGCTTTTTAAGCAAAAAAGCTGGGAAAAGGATATTCAACTGAATCCAGAAAAGATGCTTAGATCG